GTAATGCTTGCCCAGATCGTTGCCTGCTTGTAGTCGCGTGCTGGCAAGCGCACTCTCGTCACTCGCCAATGCAACACGAGAATCGTTTCGTCATCGATAGACTCTGCCATTCCATCTGTCTCGCAGGCAGTCCTGCCCCCTCCTATACCGGGGCATGCCACTTTGCTGTCTTCCCCCGCTCTTCTGTCAACGCCGGTTGCTCCAACCCTTTCAACCACGCAACCCTCTACACCCGCAGAAGAAGGGACTGCAATCAAGAGCAACCCGCCGGGCCCGGTATATCATTGTGATCGCCCGTATTGCCCGAACCCACAGGACAAAGACCATCATTACAAGGCCCACGTGGAGAAATACCACCAAAAGAAGACGCACGTTCGCGTTGACGGCGTCAAGCATCGAGCGACGCGCATCGGTAACACGGAGGACTTTCAGTGCAGGACTTGCGGCCGGTCCTGCAAAGGTGCCCGGGCAGCACGTGTAAGTGGCTCCCTTCGTCTTGGTTAATCCTTGTGCTGACTGTGGACGATTCGTAGACTCACATGATGATGCATATTGCCTCGTCCACTGTCGCGTCTGGTTCCACGGACGAGCAGCTCCAACCCCAGACCGCTGTTGATGCTGCCGTCAGAATGATCGACTCACTGACGCGCCGTATCACGGGTCGGTCTTCACTGTCGACCGGCGGGCCCTCTCAGGACGAGAAGTCGCGTCCACTGCCGCATTCTGCTCCACAGGCAGAGACCCTCCAGCGGGCATCCTCCATTGGGAGCAAGCGTCAGAGGTCGAACGAAGAAACCGCCTGCCCGTCTCCTTGTCAGCATAAGAAGGCCCGCTGTGAGTCTAGATTGATCGACGAAGTCGAAGACGACGCTGACGATGAGCGTCACAACGAGGATGAGGATGACAACGAGGACCAGGATGAGGGTGAGGATGAGTACGAGGGCAAGGACGACGAAGACGACAGCAATTTTGGGGACAAAGATGAAGACGAGGACAAGGACGAGGCCGAGGCCGAGAACTTCAACAACGACAGCAAAGTTAAAGTCGGCACACTGCCATCGAGCCCCCTTTTCGACTACTACAACATAGACGACGTTGACTATCCCATGGCTATGGTGCATCTCAGAGACGAGGAACCTGAAAGTATGGATGACGAAGACCAGAAGATCTGGTTGGTGTTAGGTGACGAGGACGATGTCGACATCGAGGTTGGCTCGGAGTCAGAGTGGGAGGATGCCCCTAGGGACATTTGGCAGGGAATAGGGCAACACAAGTGCGACACCGAAGTTGCACAGATCCAGGCCACCGTTCACTTCAGCCGAGATGAGTTAACGCAGGACGGAGAAGACAAGATGGCGAAACTGCTCAGAAAGGCTGAGTGTACGGTCAACCTTACGTATCGTGTTCTCATATGTCATAAATGTGGTTACGCGCTCGACCCCACCGCTTTGAACGGCCATTTCAACAGCAAACATAATGGAAAGTTGAGCAAGAAAAACAAGACTTCTACGCCTGTCCCAGCCAGGAGGTCAGGCTGACCTCCGGGCATCTCAGTTTTGGATGTTTGGGGTGTCAGTGCATAGCCCCAGAAGTACTGAATCCAGAACTATTCTCGCCCCCCGCTTTATATTGGTAGTCGTTCCGTAATTCATCATATCCTCCTAAAACGGTGAGAAGGGCCTGGAGGATTATCCAGCGATCAATCTCCCACGGTTAGTATGTCAAAAAAATCATGTTCGCCAATTCCCTCCCACTGGCTATTTTTTCAAGATTTTAGAAGCTTCATATATTGCAGTATTTATCGACCAATTGGTTTTTTAAATTGAAAGAAATGAAGCTCATAATTCACCGTCCATGTTTCTTGACGGCTCTCAACTGAATAGCTACTCACTGTCTGACAGCGCCTCTTCGTAACTATGACGGGTACCTCCATGAATATTCTGGGGATTTAAGGCGCTGTGGGCATATCTCCACTAATATTTTGGTGGAGATGTCGCCGGGAGTATCGCTCGCCGCCACCGTGACCGTGGGACTCTGGCGAGCTCAGCAGGGGGTCTGAACGCGCGTTGTGACACTGCCACGGTGACCGTGGGTCCCGGCCTGCTCAGCGGATGCGCGTCGTAACACCGCCACGGTGAGCCATGCAGATCACATGCTGACATTGCCACGGGTCTGAGCGTGCGTCGTGACACTGCCATGGTGAGCCACGCGCGGACGCGAGTTGTGACACTGCCATGGTGAACGTGGGTTGCGCGGCACGGCACTGCCATGGTGAGCCATGCGGCATCGGGCCGTGGCCTGCTTGCATGTGCCGGCATCGCCACGGTGATGTCCGCATTGGTCGGGATCGACAGTGAGCATGGGATAAAGGTCATGGGAAGACGGTGAACACGGGAACCAATCTATCCATCAGCTTCCTGGGCGCTGATGGGGGTTGGACTTAGCCTCTTGCGCCCTCTGCCCGCCCGCCTCCTTGTTACTCGCCTCCTCCGCCCCCCCGCCGTCCGCCTCCCGCCTCCCGCTTTGGCTCCTCCCCTCCCGCTTCTCTCTGTGCCGACGTCAACAACTGCACCGGTGGCGCTGCCAACGCGGACGGCTGCTGCCCGCAAGATGGGGGGCCGCGGAGTTGTGAAGGGACGACAGGTAAGTTGTCGCCTTCTTTTTTGGTTTTGTTTCGCGACGATCTCGGGTCATCCAGCCTCCGGTGTCGGGGCGCCTAGTCGCCTCGACGTCAGGAGGTCATTAATTGGTATTGAATATCCTTTTCGACACTGCTGACCCCCGTTTTCTAGGACGCATAAAGGCTGGGTCGCGACGACCCAGCCTTTCTTTCACCACCCTCACCAACTCGACCACCGCGCGCCTTTGGCAGCCGGTAAGTCCCCCCCCTCCTTGCCTGTATGCGCGGCTAACGCGCTTTCGGCCTTGCAGACGACCGTTACTCATCGCCGCAGCCGCGTAAGTATGGCCCCCCTTTTGTATTTAGTCGCTCATCCACCTGTTGAGCTCGTCTCAACGGTTGTGGGCGGAGGAATTCGTTCCTCTGCTTGTCTCGGTCAAATCCCAGATCACTCTTTTCTCTCGTTTATCGGCCTCAAGCTCCAGGACTTCGGACGCCGCTGGATTGTCCCGTCGGAGGAATTCGTTCCTCCGCTTGTTTCGGTCTCCTTTTAGGTCGCTCTCTTGTTGTTCGTGGGCCCCCAAGCCCAAAGACTGTGTACGCCGCTGGATTCCCATGGTTCACGGTCTCCTCCTCAAATTTCTCGGTTTGCTCTCGTTGCGGCAGCCCCTCTCGCCTCCTCGTCGCCACCCTCATCCCAGTCGGTCGTTATGACCCCCATTGCCGTGTTCCGATGCATGGAGACGGGGTGTCGATGCCGTGAAGACTACACATATACAACCGCGGATGCTCATCGCGAGGCCTGGCATCAGACGCGCAGCCGTACAAAAGTCGCCGGTCAGATAGTCTACTTACATCGCGACTCGATCACGGATATGGTTTGCTGCCCCTACTGTCCGTATGAATCGCAAAGTTTCCAGCCTCTCTGGGTATGTCCATTGTCCCCGTCTTGTGGTTCGCATTGCTGATCAATTAACAGGATCATATTCGGAGCGTTTCGTGTCCCGGCCTCAAGGATGTCGTTTCAGCGACTGAAACTTGTCGCCACCAGACGCCTGCGGCATCCGATCACCCCACCCCGCAACCCGCTTGGCCACAAGTTCCTCTTCCCGAGGACGCACAACCCACTCCGCCTGATTGGTCCGCAGCCCACCGTCTGGGGTCAGCAGTCTCAAGCATGTTTGGCGGGTTGGCTCGCCACCTCTCTCAAGGGACACCTGCAGTGAGTCCCGGCGACAACGACGCCCCTGGCAAGCGCAAGTGGCCTTCGTCGTCGATGGTGTCCTCCACTGTCCACGGGGAAAGCGAGCACCCGCGTCGTGGCCCAAAGACCCGACGTGTTGTATGCCCCTCGTCTGGTGCAGAGCATTCCCCTGCCACACCATCCAGCTCCGCTCCTTCTCTTCCCGCCTTCGTCAGCAACGATTCTGACGGCAACCTCTACGCTGATGAGGACGTTCACGCCGACAGCGAGGGCAAGGTTCATGGTGATCCCGACAACGGCTACCTCAGCCACGCGAGTGGCGGCAACACAGACATCGCGATGGACGACCCTTGCAAAGACCCAAGCAAGGACTGCGACCACCAAGACCCCACTCCTTCGGACGTCGAAACTACCGCCGCTTCCGACATCGAGGAGTCGGTGCTGTCTGGCGACGACGATCTTCTGGAGGGATCTGACGCGGAGCCTGAAAATACTCTCCGGTCATCCGACATCTCCCCCCTCCTTCCCCCTCTTGATCAGGAGTTGGAAGTGAAGCGCTTGAAGGCTACCATCCATCGCGGCGCGCATCATTGGCAGCCCAAGGACCGGGATACCCAGCGCGTCATGTCCAAGGCTAAATTTGTCGTTGATATGCAATATAAAATACTCATTTGTACCATTTGTCGATACGCTCTCGACCCCGAGCGCATACATGGCCATTTCAATTCCGAGCATCGCCGTCTTCTGTCCGTCTCCGATATGGACCGTCTTACCGCCATCTGTCTGAGTTTTGAGCTTTGCGGGCCTGACATAATGAAGAGAGTGAGGCCCCGCAATCGCAAGATCCATTATGGTCTCACCATTTACCCTTCCATCGTCTTCTGCGCATCTTGTCACCGCAGCTTCGAGAGTGAGGGTTCCTTCGCTCGCTGGCACTCTTGTCCCTTGAAACAGAATCCCGTTGTTCCTGATGCAAAGCGTTACTATCGGGCAAAAGCCCAGACCTTCTTCAAGAACAGGAAGGACCGCCGCTTTTCCCCCGTCGACCAGCACTCGCTCAACCCCATCGCCAACAGTGCAGAGGCAAAGCAGGCATGGGACCGTGTCAAGCCCATGCTCGTGGAGCCGGCTTTTGAGCAAGTCCCCATCAAGTCGCCCAAGAATCTTTGCCAGCTGTCCGTCTTCGAACGGCGTGAAGGCTGGTCTCCATACGTGAAGGGCAAGACGGGTCAGCAGCTGCAAGAGATTGTGGACGAACCGCGCGACCCCCCTGTGGTGGATTTACTGTCGCTCTATGTAGAGCGTTATGTCGACGTCGCCCTCTATGCTCTCAAGGACGAGTCGTATACAATACAGTCCAAGCTCGTGAACATCGGGTTGTAAGTTGTGTTTGCCATATGTTGTGTTTCTCATGTCTGATCGCCGCGTAGGAGAGACGAGTACAAGGGTTCGTTCTACCATACCAAGACCTGGCTGGAGTACGTCCACAAGTTCTTGCCTGCCCTTTGCTTTGTCATCCGCGCCGCCCGCGACGACCTACCCGAGCACTTCAAGATGGATCTCACTGATGACCAATGGTCCTCAGCCCTCGAGCTTTTCAGGCAGCTTGAGATTGCTAACGAAGCCGGTGGGCAGCCCGTCAGCATGGAGCAGCTTGAAGAAGATCGGCAGCAGAAGATTTTCATGGATCGTTTTGGCACTGACCGCCCCGTTCTCGAGCCTTTCCATCGTCTCCTATGGTCCCTCCTGTCACACAAGAAGGTCGGCTGCGATCCCAACAAGTTCTACACCCCCCTGTACAATTTCCTCGTCCTCAGCTCGTACAATGCGCAGGGCCGTCTCAAGTTTGCCGCGTCCATCTCCCACTTCATCGCGCCGCTCTTGTATATCTGTAGACTGTCTATCTTCACGCAGGGTGTTCTGTATTCGCAGGAGAAAGATGCTCCTTACCTTGAGTGAGTCCGCCTTTGTTTTGGAGGGTATACGCGGTACTCATCATCGGTGCTCAGGATATTTCCATGTATCAAACCCTGCCTTGACCTCGAGTCCAGCATGCCTCTCGCACTCGTTTTATCCACAAATCAAATTGTATCTTCCATCCGGCTCAACGAGGAAGGCATACCATGGATCCAATTTGCGGATAAGGAGTACAAGACCTGGCTTCACCACGGGAAGGTCGTCAGTATGAAGAAGATCGGTGATGCGATTCTCAAGGCCGTTGCTGAAGCCATAGATATCCTGTGACAGGAGATCCTTTGTGGAATATCCGACGACGACGAAGCGTTCGATTTCAAACGCACCAGGCTGGTCAATTCGCCGCAAAACTCGGTGCTACACTATTCGTTCATCCAGCATCCGGAGAACGACTTCAAGAAGTATTGTCACGCTCTTCTGCATGTGTGGATTGGGAATGAGAGCACCCACAAGTGCTTCGTCAACGACAAGGCTCAAGACAGCGAGTCCATCTGGCATCTGGATGAAATCAAGCGCGTGTATGCGCACTACAACCGCCTCCAACATATATTCCTTGCCATCACCTGGTTCGCCTGTGGTCCTCCTGGCCACGCAACGGAATGGCAGGCACTCATTGGCACAAACTCTCAGCAGGGCCACATGCGCAGCCTGTACGTTTTCACCGACGAGTTGTATCTCGTCACCGGTTACCACAAGAACATTGGCGCGACCGGCAAACAAAAGGTCACCACGAAGCTTGTCCCAACGTAAATTCGGGAGCTCTTGCTTTGGTCCAAGGTCATCGTGCAACCTGCGATGGAGTATTTGGTCAAGATGGTGCGTGACTTTCGTCCTCCATCTCTTTTTTCTTCATCTAATACCCGCTGCTTAGACTCATGGCAGCGAAGCGCGGATGCGCATGTACGACGATGTTTTCCCCCTGGCCGGACAAGCTCAACGATCCGACACCGTGAACACAACGTTCGCTGGCCTCATGTGCCAATACCTCGGCATCGAGCTCAACGTTCACGACACGCGTGCCGCAACCGCCGCTGTAGAAGCCTTTGCCCTCAACGTCAGTGCGGAGACGCGGGAGCGCCATACGCACAAGTTTCATCGTCTCAGAGCCCAAATGCGAGGGCACACACCCGAAGTCGACGATCGGTGGTACGCATTAACAAATTTATGATGCTGAAGTCGGTCAGCCCGTACAAGTTGCGGGAGAACACGTATCACTCCCAACTTCATCAGGTGGCGCTCGGATTTTGTCCGCATCCTGACGCCCAGGACATGGTGGCTCTGGTCGCATCTGGCCATGCTCAAGTTGTCGTCAACGTCGAGCCATCGTTTGAATCCCAAAAGCAGATAGCACAGCTCGTACTCGACGGCGTGGCAAGCGCGCTGAATGAATCTTTCGTGCAAACGGTCTCCTCCATCCTTTCCCGTATCCCTCGCGTGTCCGAGGCGCAGCATGATGCCCAGGAGAAGGACAGGGTGGTGGCACTGGCGTTGAAGTGCCTCAGAGAGATGCTCAACGAGGAGACCACGTTGTTTCGCATTCTCGAGCAAGGTGTGGCCGTCACGAAGGCGTTGACTGGGCACGACCTGTTGGCAGTTCTGCCCACAAACGCGGGCAAGAGTTTTATCCTGCTTGCGGTATCCTACTATTACCGGTCCCTTAGCAAGTTCGTCGTCGTTGTCATACCTATCAGCATTTTGGTTGAAGAGTGGAAGAACAAATGCCGCGGCATCGGTCTCAAGTTCAGCGTGTGGACTCTAGAGAACCAAAACCCAGAGGCCCCCATCGTCTTCATATCTCCCGAGAATGCAACGATCCGCGATTTCTACTCTTGGGCCAAAGACAAAGCAGCCGCTAGCTCTCTGATCACGCTGGTGTTCGATGAGTTTCATCTCATCGTCGAACACCAGTCATTCCGCAACTGTTTCTGGAACCTCGCAAGTCTCGGCAGGTTCAGCCTTCAGCTCATCCTGCTAACGGCTATGGTGCCCACACGTATCATCCCGGCCTTGCTCAACGCCACGGGCAGTCGCGATGCTCAGACCATCCGTGCTCCTATTACTCGGCCAGAGCTCAAGTATCACTACCGGTACTTCAACAGCAAGCAGAAGGCGCTGGAGTTCACCACATGCGAGTACCGCCGTTCGCGGGAGCAGTACAACACCGAAGATCGCGCCATCGTGTTTGCACAATCCATCGGTCAATGTGAAGACGTGTCCGCGAGGCTCTGCTGCCCGGTGTATTCAGGAAAATTGCCTGTTGATCACCAGGCCGAAGTTTACCACCAGTGGTCGCAGGTCGGGCCTGTCGTCGCCGCAACTCTGGCCCTCAGATATGGTGTCAACGTTCCACACGTCCGGGACATCTTCTTCTTTGGCCTTCCTGGCAACTTCCTCCTGGCTGAGCAAGAGGCAGGACAGGCTGGTCGTGACAATAGGCCTGCTTGCGTGTGGTTCATTGAAGTCGACAACGCAAGCTTCTTTCGCCATCCTCCTGCGGCGCACAATCTCCTTGGCGACGCCGATATAGTCACTGCTCTTTGTACCGTCGACTGCTTACGGCTACCTTTCAGCCAGTTCTTCAATGATTGCAACGTTTCCTGCCCCGAGCTCCCTCATGTGCAGCTGTGCATGAACTGCAAGAAGAGCATACTCGGTCCTCTGCCCACTCTTTTTCCTCGTGACAACCCAACGTGGGGCGAGCCGGTCATTTCCCCTTATCTCCCGGAGATGAACAAGGTGCCTGCTGGGAGAGGGATGGGTTATCCAGGCCTCTGTAAGACGGACGGTGTCGGTGCGAGGTGCATTTTTCCCCAGTCGTTCATATTGTCCGTATTCTCATTTTGTGAACAGGCAGCCCGCATCGTCAGAGCAACCATCTTTACCCGCTCCTCTTCCTCAACGCATTCCCACCCCCATTCCTCCCATCCCATCCATCGCGCCTCGTCCCGCAACTCCTCCCGTACTTCCTACCCGCACACTTCCTTCCCCCCCTCCACGAAGCACGGGAACGGTCGGACGATCCAGCCCAAGTCGGACAGCTCGTACGGCATGTTTGATGGCGACGACGACCTTTACATGGCCATTGACATCGAGGCATTGCCTCAGCCAGCGCCGAACAGCGGCCTTGGCCATACATACATTACGATCGGAAACCCGTCTCCGATCGACTCCTCCCTGGCTCGTCAGATCTTCAGTGATCTTCCCGATGCCAGCTCGAGTGCCCCCTCTTCGCCACCTCGTCCAGCTGACCGTCGTCGCCGTCCTCTGCCCCTGCCGCCGACTTCCACTCCCATGCTCTCGCATGTTCAGCAGCAGGACGACGTGTTCAGTGATTCGTCCCTGAATGCTGGTCGTTCCAGCGCTGCCTATCCACCTGTTGCGCTCTGGTCTTTGCCATTCCCGGTGTCATCGTCTCCAACACGACACGCCCTCATATGCAGTTCAAGCGGTACGAGCTCTCCAATCGCAGGTCCCGACATGCTGTGGAACGACCCTCGCAGCTCGCTGTCGTCCTACCTCCCGACACTGTTGGATATCATCGAGCTCTCATCGTCGCCTGTTCCCGTCCCGACGCCGTTGGAGATCATCGAGCTCTCCTCGTCACCTGTTCCCGTCCATAGCCCCGCGGGTCCACCTTGCGCTGCCCCGCCTGTTCCCGTCCACAGGCCCGCGGGTCCACCTCGCGCTGCTCTGCCTGTTCCCGTCCACAGGCCCGCGGGTCCACCTCGCGCTGCCCCGCCTGTCAATCAAGTGACGTGTCCGCAGTCCATCGGCACCGCGTCCATCGGCACCGTCCATCAAGTTTTCCCGTGGCACACGCGGCGGGTGAATTGATACATACTGCCAGAGTGAGTGTGTTTCCTGCATGTACTCTCGCACTTTTTGCTAACCCCTTGCTTCAGGGAGCACGAGGAGCCATCCACCTCCACCAGGCAGGACAATACCTACATCGAGCCCATCACTCCACTACCGCCTCCCTCCGCGGTCCCATCATCCTGGACAAGGCCGCACGCAACGGCGGTGAACATTGCGAACGGGCAAATAACGAAGGAAATGTCGCACACGGTTGCCGCAGGCCTCAAAAAGGCAAGGGACGACATTCGCAAGATATGCGTTGTCTGCTGCTTGCAGAGTGCAACATGACCCCAGCCCGAACACAGAATCAAGGAGTGCCCGGTCTTCAACACCCAGGGCCAACATCGTTCGCAATACATTGATTGGATCGAACAGTATGCCAAGTTGAGAAAGGTTTGTTGGCTTTGTGGATTCAATACGGTACGGCCTCCGTTTCTGCGCAATTGATTGGTACTAATCATCATATGTCTCGCAGATGCTACAGGAAGACCTTCCCAAAACTCATCGTCCTTACCGTGGAATCAATTCCAGCACCACGTGCAGGCCAGAGATGGACAAAAGATTGATCCTCCCTGCCCTATACCTTTTCTCTCGCAATGCAGCCCTTCGCGAAGCGGTTTGGCCTGCTCTCCAGCAGTATGAGCTGGTCATTGGACCCCTCCCCCCATTGCACCAACCGTCGTCGGATCTGAGCAGTTGGCTCTTTGGCTCCGAGCCTGGCCATGGGTATCGATACTTCTACGTAGTTTGGGCCCTTATCGAACACTTTAATGTCTTCGAGTAATAGTTGTAACTCAGCTCAGTGTCTTGTTCACCTTACTGTACTCTACGTGTATTACCGTAGATTTTAATTCACCGTGCTTCGAACTCACGTGTTGAGAGACGGCGTAACCTCAAGATGATACAATGAATGAATTGGCTCAACGATCGCTCGAACTTTCCCGGGTAACATATGCATTCAGGGTCAAGCGACTATGATACAATAAAGAAAACTACTATGTACGCGCTATTCTAAAGTACATGACGTGAGCCGACGAGATGTCCGGGACAATGCTGACGTTTTGTGGGGGAGTTAATAAGCGGATGGGACGCCTGGGTGATGGAACGGGACAGAAGGGAGTCGGCAGAATACGTCGAGGAACGTGTTCATGTACGCGGTCACGACCGTCTTCTCGAGCGCGACGTAGCTGATATGCGACAGACAATCATCGGTGGTAGCCCACAACGGCAGCACCAGCAACCCCAAAACCTTCCAGTCTTGCATGAGATCCGAGAGCGCGAATATGAACTTGCGACGAGAGTACATGTCCTTGTCACCAAAGCCGTTCGGCGACGTGGGGTTGCGTTTGAAGTCGAAGACACGGTCTGCCATACATGCTCGGATGGCGGCGATGGTCCTGTTGTAGGCGGCGGGCGGTAATTCTTTGTTACGGTTGTTGCGCCGAAGGAAGTGGTATGCAATCAGGAGGAGGTCTTGGTGAACAGCGTGCTCGTTGACGTCCCACACGATGAGCATCCTCCACGCGGTGTTCTGCAGGTCGCCATCGGACAGTACTTTGCCAAAATACAGGGTGTTGGGCTCATCTGACGGGAAAGGGACGCCACACTTGCTCAACAGCTCGCGAATCGTTGTGGCAGCACATTCGAGGTGCTTGTCAGTCGTTCTGGGCACCGCGTGAGTATCAAAAAGGGTGGGCCACTTGTCCATCTTCAGAAGCTCCTTCCAAGCCCCGCGACTGTACTGGAACGATGCAACGTTGTCCGGCGAACAGCGGAACAGGTCACTAGCCAATAACGCTTGGTACACCCTCCGAAATTGAATCCAGCCGTAGCGGCAGTGTTTGCCGGTCTGACTGGTGTTCGCAGCGACAAGAGTGATGGGTGGGGCTGGCATCGCGAATGGCCTGTCTATTGAGACCGGGATGCTCGTGATGAGCGACTTGAAGACGGCAAGGATTGGATGCGGCATCGACGGCTTCTCGAGGTTTGCGATAGCATTGTACAAGGCGGCCTTCTCTGCCTGCAGTTGACGACCCCGGTTCTTGTCTTGCGTCTGGCCCTTCAATTTCAGCACGTACACCTGTGACGCAGACCGACGCGCAACCGTCGTAGCTGATAGTGTCCTGTTAATAGATCGTTCGTACACGGCAAACGGCAACTTACTTTTTGTAGTGCGCAATGGGCCCGCCACAGGCTGCGAGCGTGACGGACCAGCGACCGCTGAAGTCTCTCTGGCCTTATAGATCGAGTTGAATTGGACACTGGCCAATCCGAACTCGTTCGTGTTCACAAGCGCGGGCTGCTCGCTCATCTCGACACTGCTGATAGAGCCACCTATCCATCCTGCTGTCGTCAAGTACAATGACGGCAAGGAAGCCCAAAGCAAAGCGATCGCACTCTTCATGCCGGTCACGGCGATCGGTCATGGGTTCCCGCTGCGACGATTGACCTCCACGAACACATCGTGGCGGCACTGGGCAACGACTTTGGCGACTGCTAGGTTTGTCGGCAGCTGTGACCGTGGAATATACATCCACACCGGCAGGCCCATGTCATACAACTCTCGCAGCTGCTTGTAGTCAGTGACGATTGCGCCAACGACCGGATGGGTGATCCGACGAGGATCAACTGGCCATCTCGTCAACCAGAAATAGATGCCCCAGCCCTCAAAGATGCAATGCTGGGCGTTGGCCGCTAGGATCATCAGGTCCTCAATGTGGAACCCAAAGTCGACGACGGTGTGCACGACGGCGTAGTGCATCCGCATGATCACGGTGTCGACCAGGACGTAGATCTTCTCGTCGTCGCCGTGTATGGAGGGAGTGCTGACTCGGCCGGTCTCCCACCAGTGCCTGAGAAACTGACTATGCTTCTTCAGCACGTTCGCGTATGCCTTTTCGAGCTTAAAGAATGCTTTGTAATTGATGACGTGAGGCGGCATGTTCGTGAGCTCCACATGGGCAAACCCATGCGGGAAAGGCGCAGCGGCTGTCGGAATCCAGGGAAGGTGCGGCTCGGTGGGCTTGTAGAATTGAGGGTGCAGAGACCACTCATGCGCACTGAATTGGCCGTTCGCGTATCAATACGCCATCGCAATACGAAGATCTTTTACATGCGGAGGGGATGGAATGTCGATCATATTGGGGGAGTACATTACAACGGTGCCGAACATATTCATGGCGACGCGAGCATCAAAATACCGACAGCCTGTCCGGAAAAGTTGTAGTGAGGGGTGATGCCCGAATGCGAAAAAAGAAAGACGTACATTGGGAATCCCACTCCCAATTGTTGATCAAGGAGTGTTTTTAGTTTGCAGCATATATAGTGACCAGGTCCATCGCTTGAGGATTGGGATTTGGCAACACAAACGGGCGGTCGAGTTCCATTGGGTCAATCGACTAGCGGAGACGTGCAATATTATTGAACGCACTAAAAGAAATGTGATTCGTTAGCGCAACGTCGAGAATCGAAGCACAGTAGTACGTACCGAACGTTGGTAAGATAAGAGTCTGGAGGCCAAGACAGCAAGGCAGCAAGCAGGCAAGCAAGATGGAGAGGACAAGGGGACAAGGGAGAGCACGGACGGAGGTGAAAGCAAGAGAGACGGCAACCGGGTCCAAACAGCACGAGCGCGCGGTCTACTGTGAAAGAAAAACCGAAACAACCAGAAGGCGCGAAGCCTTCCAAGCACAGAGCTGAAACAATCGGAAGGCACGAAGCCTTCCGAGCCAGCAGCAAAACCCACGTAGGGTTTTATTGCCAGCGAGCTGCAAAAACAAAGCGCGGTGGCGGGCGCTGAACGGCAAGCGCGGTGGCGGGCGCTGAACGGCAAGCGCAGTGGCGGGCGCTGAACGGCAAGCGCAGTGGCGGGCGCTGAACGGCAAGCGCAGTGGCGGGCGCTGAACGGCAAGCGCAGTGGCGGGCGCTGAACGGCAAGCGCAGTGGCGGGCGCTGAACGGCAAGCGCAGTGGCGCGTGGGCAAGCAACAAGTCCAGTGGCGGGCGGCAAGCAACGAGTCCGGCGGCAAGGAAGATGAGTTGAGAGTGTCGTCGGCGGCGGGCGAAGAGGGCAGGAAAAGAGGGTGGAGAGGAGATGGCAGGGACACGGGGAGAGAGGAGCACGACGCGTCAGCCCACAGTTGACGTGGGATTAAATCCGGAGACGGCCAGGACCATCGTTGCCACGTGTGCTCCGCCGCTCAAGGTGGCGTGAAACGAACACCGGAGACGGCTGAGCGGACCACTGCCACATGAAGCACTGCCACCCAGTGTACTGCCACCCCAGGCACTGCCACCCCAGGCACCCCAGGCACTGCCACCCCACACACTGCCTAGCACTATTCTTCCCTAGTCCATGTCGACGGGCCTAAATGGTGGATGCAGGCGTCGGATTGGCTAAGAGGGCTCAGATCCACCTCAATCCACTCAGCCTATCCTCTCACAACCCCGGATTGCCATCAAATCCACTTGGCCTATCCTCTCACGGCCGTTGGTGTCCATCAGACCCACCTGTCTTGCCCACATCGGCCGTGGGACTGGTGATCGCTGTGGATGGCATGTCCACCCCATCCACATCCTATTTGAAACGTTGGAATGAGCATCCACCTCATCCACCCTGTCCACTTTAAGCATTGATCCACCTGCCCACCGGATCCACCAAACCTACCGGATCCACCGTTCCGAGGCATTGGATTGAATCCACCTAGTCCATCTTGCCTACCTCGTCCACATGTCCACCTATCCACCTCGCCCACCTCGCCTACTTTGTCCACCTCGCCTACCTCACCTACCTCGTCCACATGTTCACCTATCCACCTTGTCCACCTCATCCACCTCGCCTACCTCATCCACATCATCCACATGTCCACCTATCCACTTCGTCCACCTCGCCTACCTCACCTACCTCGTCCACATGTCCACCTCACCTACCTCGTCCACCTTGTCCACATATTCACCTATTCACCTCGCCCACCTCGCCCACCTTCACGTTCTGGAGTATCTCTTCGAGTGCCTCAAACTTCTGCTCCCATCTCCCAAGTGTATCCGCCATAAACGCGGCCCACTCCTCGGCGGCCATGTATGGCACGCCGGAATGCGTCGCCGGAGCCTTGCTGGGGGTGAGCAACACTACCGCAGGCCTGGAGTCCCGCCCGACACAGTTGGCGTTCTTCTGCCTGCAATGCAGACACACGTTGTTTAGTCTGGGAATGTTCAGCTCCCGAACGCAATCCTCGATCTGGTTGTTGAAGCAAGGCAAGCACTAGACCAACAGGTATCAGTATTGCATATGTAACACGGTGCGCCACTTACCCTGTTGTTGTTTACAAATACCTGCATTGTCGAGTGATGGGTTGGAGGAGGGAGTTCGATCCGACGACGACGACGCACGTTCAATCCAATTACGGCACGTGATGTCAATCGGATTTTCATTGCACCAGGCCAGGCGCTTTGCTCAAATTCAAAAAGCCGTTCGTGTTCAGAATGAGATATAGTACATGTAACTAGTACGGGTCCTAACGTCTGAGGGCCTGGCACCGCTTGATCTCCGCTGCCAGCATTCTGGCAGCATGCGTAAGCTCCATGGTGCGCAGCACTGTGCCGATTGTTGCCCCGATCTGCATAGCGCGAGTATCTGCGCTCGTTTGAACGTGTTCTGTGCATCGATCAAGGATACCCTTGATGCGCCGAGCTGACGCGGCGCTGGCCCAGAACGGATTCGGATTCTCGTTCTCCGGTACCCTTGTCGGCCTTGGCTCAGCAGGGATGTCTTCTGACGCTGCGCCCCTGCGCCGCCTGTGTGCCCCACCGCGATTGAGCCCCTTCTCCCCCTTGCCCTTCTCGTACATGCTCTTCTGTCGTTGGCAGCACATGCACGCCACTCCCGCATACCAGCCCATCTCGCATTGCACCCCCGCGCTTCTGCACTTCGTGCACAGTGTCGGGAAAAACATCTGTGAGGAATTATGAGATGATGATCGGAATGACAGGATAAGTGTTTACGCCTTTTCCCTCCAGCACATGGCCCCTTCTCCTCTGAGCGGAAAGTGTCAGTATCCGTCAGCCATGCGTTTAGCGGTGAACATACTGGGATTGGCCGTGGGATGGCCTCATCATCGCTCTAGACCATATCCTATATGGGTCAGTCTGTGCGGAATGGTGCGGTGGTACTCACAAACTGCATAGGTGACTGTATGTGCTTGCATTAAAAATCCAGAATCAGAATGGGCATCACTCACAGAGCGACGTGGAGCTGGCTTAGTCTGGCTATTCGGCAGCGTGAAGGACCTCACGATGGGCCAGCACCTAATTGAAGGCTCCCCAGCGGTATCCTCCGCATCTTCTTTGCCTCCATGTCCGTTGATTGGACTTCCTCCACCGCGTCAGAATCCGATTCCGGTCTCGCAGCAAGCCTTGAGGGACCTGCTTGTTGATTGATAGGCGGGGCGTCCGTGGTGAGATCCAGTTCCCGAAGCAGGGCTTGGAGCTGGGTGGGCGTAAGGGTCGATAGGTGTTCCTCTAGCACATGCATAGCGAGATGGAAAGTGAGAGAGAGATGGACTTTGAATTCCACCGCGTCGTTCAATTAGTCACATGTGCATACCGCCTCGATCTCGCAACTGGCTGGGAGTGATGTCAATGACGTCGGGAGGCTGTAGAGCTGCCGATGCAATCATTCCGATAAATCATTCTGATATGTATTCAACTAGATGGCTACCATAAAAATGTTTCTGCCACTTCGGAAATCACCACATCTGGTAAAACTCCATGGCTATGGAAGCTATGAAATGCTATGGTAGTGCTATAATAGTACTTTATAGTATGTATATCCTTCCATAGCAATGTAGATTTCTCCTGAGCAGTTCCATCGCCACGCACATATGTTCCAGCACCACCCCCACCGAGCTAGCCGTGAGCTTGCTATGAATATCCATCTGCTGCTCAACTCTCTCCATCTATCTTAAAAAGTCTTCGTCCATCCGGTGCATGGTTACTGACGGAATTTCGAATGGGTTGCGCAAGGTGCCCTCAGAAGTCGTCTTGTGAGTGGGATTGATGCCGCGGTCAGAACATTCCCCTTGAGCACCCTGGTCTTGCACATGCTGGGGCATATCTTTCCGGTGACCATCAGCCAGCAGATCTGGATTTTCCTGAATACCCTAATGCACCGCACATCCAATAGCGGATATCAGAAATAAGATACATCAAGACACGGTGACCAGGAACGGCAAGCAACTCACCTTCTCATCGGAGAGAGCCATGCCTTGCCCTTCAGGCGTATCATTCGTTGTCGGAATGGAATGCGCTTTCTGGGACATGCCGTCGTCCCGATTCCCGTCGGAGAATAGCTCTCCATGTTGGGGTGGGTCGACATCTCAGAAATAACTCAGAATTCTGAGCACCTCATCGTCTGCCATAGGAGCATCCTGAGCATGTGACGATGCCATGTAGGGCCTTCTGCGAGCAGGGTGTCTTTACCGGAATGGATAACAGGAGCAACGCCGAACCTGTGGCCCAATGATGGAAATCGTGTCATGTGCTCTTTCCCCCCGATGCCTCTGGCAAAGTCCACCTCCCTCCTTGTGCTCACCCAGACATTGGACCAACGCAGAGTTGCACAGAATGAGCAAGAACACCAGCGATCCTCTCAACCCGTGTACCCAGGACCCAGCGGAAGTTGATAAGGCTACGCTGATAAGACAGCTCATCGCCCGTCATGGGCAAGGGTACCTCGAGTCTCTGATAGAGCAGGCAAAGGTCGGGGTAAGTATTCCGATTCTCTTGTCGCCATCGCCACACTACTGACACTGGCGAATCAAGAAGCTGGACAGGTCGAGCTCCAGAGAAGGCCATAGGATGGACGATGAACAGGAGATGGTGGGTCGGTTAATCCGATCACAAATCCACGTTCCAGCTAACGTTTACGACAGGAAATAGACGCTGATCCCTCGCCGCCTCCCCCCAATCAGCAGGCATGCCGCGGGCGATCCTCAGCCTCCATGGATCAACACGTCGCCCAGTCCGCCAAGACCGCAACGACTTCAAGAGCGCAGGACGGCCAGCAGCCCTGCTCCATATCTACCACGGCAGCTGTGACGCGAAAGTCTTCAAGGCAGACGTCTAAGGCTCGCCGGCGGGACAGGCTGACAGGAATCCGTCTGAGAGCGACGGGCCTCGTCCGCCCGCGGCACCTTCCGCCCAAGGCCCCACACCGGCGGATCCCAGAGACCGACAGCGTTCCACCACCGTAGTGCCAGTTCCCGCCTCTCCAATCGCACCGATCAATGTGCAGGATCATTCTGCCGATACCGCATCGCCGATGGCCGTGGCAACATCTCACCAGCTCGCAGTGTTCGCGTCGATGCTCACATGCAGTGTCAACGATATTTCAGCTCGGCTCAGCGCCATCGAGACGATCCCTGCGCAGCTATCTGCTCAAAAGCAGTTCGCAGATGCGGTACTCAAGGCCCACGGGGACCAGGCTGCGGATCACGCGAATGTCACCGACGCCGTCGACCGCATCACCCGGGATATCGCAAAGCTATCAGAAGTGCAGAAAGTGCTGTTCTACATGTGCCACGATCAAGCCGAGAAGTTGCAGACGCTCGCCGCAGAGGTCGCCAAGTTAAACGACAACTTGGCGCAGATTCGACAGAGCGCTAACCGGCTCCGTTGAGCTACAGCGGTGTTACTGTTGCCATCTCCTAACGCACTCACGACATGCGCTGCTGCCCGTGTAAATAGTACGAAATCTAACGAGTCATTTCATGCCGATGTTGCTATTGATTCCGCCTGTGTACGTACTATGAATCCTAACGAAAGATTTCATACCAACGTAAATATCGATCGGAATGAGCCCGGAAACGGGGAGCGTCACGGGACCGGGGCACTGTCAGACGCGTGTCGATACTTCCCTCCCCCCCCCACCCGCAATGACCATCCCACCATGAGTGAATCCGCTATCAGCGCTCTGGAGGATCTCAGTCCGGAAATGTTGCGCCTTCTGCTTGAGCAGCTCGAGCCGGCCAACACGGATGCAGGTGCCAGCCTGTCGAGGCAGAGCTCGCTGACCGCCCCTGGGATTGCCAAGTCAGTAAGCGGCGACAGCACATCCAGCAAGCGAAAGGCGGAGGAGGAGCTCTCTTCGACTAGGCGGTCGAAGAGGATCAGACAGGTGCGCACTGATTCATTCCGATTGTCCAGGGAATTGGTTGACCGCTATCCCGTAGAAATCACAGAGGAAACCGACCGAGCAATCGCTACGAGAGAAGATCCAGTACGCCTGGTGGCTCCTGGAGTCGGTGCGCCCTCCCGCTCCCCACCTCCTCTTGCTGCTCTTGCTAACTGGGGTAATAGAATCGGACACATCATCCGATCTGCAATCCATGTCGAGAAATGCGCTATCAGTGCGAAAGCCCACCGACGGGTCGTGCACGTTTTGCGCCTGAGATGGTTACGGCAGCGACTGCGTCACCTATACCACAATCGAGGTGTCCCAATCACTCCCCGTCGTCTTGCGGAACCTCAAATACCAGATGGAGCTCCTCACCGAGCTCATCGACATCCACGAGCAGCTGAGGAGTCCTTTGGCGGAGACGCTAATCACCATGCACGACGACCTCGCGGAGCGGTTCGACGAGCTCCTTCCGATGCTGGGGGGCGCTCGGGCGTAAACACGCCAAAGGGCTGAGCTGTAGGCCATGCCGTAGATACCGTATCGCCCGATAACGCCTGTTCAACTTTTTTGTAACCATAACGTACATACGAAGGATCAAGCGCGCTTGTACATGCTTCGGAATGACGGGCCAAGCCATCGCAAGTTAGGCAATGTTACGGCCAACAATCCGGCCAGTCACGTGAGGTTGTTGCCTAAGGGCCCTCCATCAGGTTTCTCTAGTTCTTCATCACCATGTCCTCGTCAACCGGCATCCCGCAAGATCTCGAAAGCCTCCCTCTGGAGACCCTTCTCCGGCTCGCCGCAGAGCTGGAGGAATACGAAAGGTCTCAGGCCGGTCCCTCCACATCGCGCCATCCCAGACACGCACCGGCAAACCCTAGCACATCAGGCCGGGCTAATCCGATACCAGATTCGCTCGATGATCCGCTTCCGTTCGCTGGAGAGACGGTACGTTGCGACACCTTTCAACCATCCCGCCCGATCTCACTCATGGGCGAGCCAGACAACAGGTGCTGCTCCGCCGTCCCCTCCCCATTCCGAGCCTACCACCAGCGATTGGTCGGCCATGATGGAGGCCGAGCAGTGGACCGAGGCGGCGCGGCTGACCGAGAGGTCCAGCCAACGCTTTCTCAAGGCGCTGGATATGTTCTCTGACACAGCGCTCGAGAAAATGGAGGAAAACGCAATCCTCGCCGGCGCCACCATCGGAATCGGATTGCAAGACATTTTGAGGGAGGTCGAGGCACACCTGCGACTCATTCAAACGGCATGCGCCATCGGGGTTGAGAAGCGGAGCGGAGGAAAGGGAAAGCGCCGGGCGGTTCCTAGAAAGTAGATACACGGATGTGGAATGTAGCATACGCGCATAACCGTAAAATATCACTTTTCGATCCCAACGCGCGTCGCTTGAGCTTCTGGTGCCGAGAGGGTAACACGATGAATCCGAGGATTGCACTGTAAAGGACATGCTATGCGGGGCTCTCAGAGGAATAAAGAAGTAGCTTCCAGAGGGATAAATTGACGCTCTGTGAAGGATAGGGGTTATATCACCACAAGCACTCCCTGAGGCCCAGACCAGTGCCATATCCCCTCGATATAGCATCGGACTGACCATCCTAACAAATGGTGCATTTGTTCTGGCCGCACCAGACAGGGACAGGCATCGGAATGGAGGGATATGGTAGAATGTGTTCTACCCGAGAGAGACCTAATACAGTTCCTATGGACGTAGTGGTATTGCTCATTTCTCACCGCCGCCAGCGAAACAACCTCTGTGCTTTACCCGTTCCCCGCCCATTCGTTATCCAATCTAATGCGCTTTTGCTGGGCTCAGAATGAAATATTCGTGGGCGGTAGGAAATACCCGCGGCCTTATGGCTGTTCGGAAACGCGACCACGACTACTGCCGAGCAGATATGGACTTAGGTGATTCGCCTTGATCGGCAAAAGGTCATGTGCCATTCTCTATTGCGAGGGTGGAAAGCTACCAGAGCAATCCGGGCTTCGCCGCCGCGCTGGCAAGGGCAGGGGTAGCAGTGCGTAACCCTCCAATCGGAAAGCATTTTAGCGGCTTACAATGTTGCATATCACAGGCGCCAAGGATAACGACCACCCGACCACCCGATAACGAAGACAAGGACCATAATATGGTGCGTCACTCATTCCGACGGCGTCTCGTCATCGGTATGAACTTTCACAGCAGGACACCAATGCCGATGGCCCGCTGTGCCCACGTGCTGGGCTATTGGACGATTCCGCCTCGGATCGTCCGGGTCCCCAGTCCGCCAAGGCCAAGGGGAAGGGGAGGGCGCACGACGTCGAGGCGGCCCCATTGACGGATACGGCAGCAGACCCCTCGTGCAAGTCCATGAGACAGCCGTCATCTAAAGCAGGCTTCGATGCCTCGGGTAGCATGGACGTGTCGGAAGACACTACGCCTCAGGCTCCCACTCAGACGCAGCCCAAGCCCCGGCCCCGCAAGGCCGCCGCTCCTCTGGCACCCATCGTTGAACGGACCCCGTCCGTCGAGGCTGCAACGACCCTGGGCCTAGCGACGTCCTCCGAACTGCAAGCGGTAGGATCGGCGCTTACGAGGAGCGTGGAAGACATGGCGCATTGGCTCAGCGCTCTGGAAGCCGTCCCCGGTCAGATTGCAGGCCAGCAGCAAATGCTGTCGGCAATCCTCAAGTCGCACGCGGACCACGCCGCCGATCACGAAGATCTCTCCGCCGCCATCGAGTGCATGACGACCGAGATGGCGAAGATGAACGAGCTATACAACGGCCTGGTACACATGTGCACTCAGCAGGCGGAGAAGACCCAGGCCCTCGTCGATCAGGTCGCGGCGCTCAGTGACTACGTTATGCAGGTCGGGCAGAGGGCAAATCAGCTGCGTTGAACGCTGGTCTCAACGTCGGCTTCGCATAGTTCACCTGTTATATATATTAAGACCCTTACGGTTCCCAAACCTACCACTATAATAACGAGCTTTACGTTTTGTGCGCGGACAGGCTTGCTACATTTGTACCCTTGGCGGCAATGTCTTCTGCTGTGATTTCTGCCCGTGCTCTGTTTGTACCGCCTGCATCTGGAGCCTCATTCCCGATGGACACCACAAAAAAATCCAGTTCAAATGCCCAGCCTGCGAGTCCTGTGATGGGTCAGCTCAGTATCAAGTAAGTCAGCCCTCTCCCTTCAAGCACTTCTGCTGAACCACCACTTGTACAGGGCCTTTACCTGGATGGACAACCTTGGGTCACGTGCCTTGCAGTGACAGTGCCATTTCTAGCTGGGAAGGACGCTCACTACAGCACTACGCAAGTATCCGTCATGCTTTTTACTCTTCTTTCGCTAGTTTCCTATGGCAATGCCCTCGTAACGGCCATGATTAACTCCCTAAATACCGTATACAAAGTTCATGATTATGCCAATGTTCAATGCCACAGGGTTGTATTCAACCTGCCAGAGAACAGATGAACTGCTTATAGAAGACCATCAACGCGAGCTAAGCAAGCTTGCGATGGCATTGATGCAGTAGGTTGCTCAATTCTCTGAGGCATGCTTGACATTGAATGTGTCTACTTCTTTAGACACAACACTCGACTGTGCTCCTATGATAGATTAAAGCTCACCTTCTTCATGTGGTCGTCATTGCTCTCCCGGATACTCTCATACTCCTTCCTGAGCTGAGTGTACCTGCTCAGGTGGAGCTTGGTTTTGAAGACGTGGACGTAGATGCCCACGCCAATGTCGAGTACCGAGCAGGGTCAGAAGGTGCATGTGGTGGGGATTGAGATGGATCTGGTGAAGATGTGAAGTTGGCCCCCGGCTCTCCCCAGACCACTGGACAGGCTGTCCACATCGAGTTGGCTGGCAATGCAGGTGTATTATGCTCGTCGTCTGAACGTTCTAGACGTCCCCAGCGCTGACTGGACCGCCGATACAGGGGCCACTGCTCATATGACGCCTCACCGTCACTGGTTCGTCTCCTACGCGCCCTGCAACGTCCCCATTCGCCTCGCCGACTCCAAACTCGTCTACGCCGTCGGTGTTGGCTCCGTTCGCTTCCAGCCCGTGGTGAAGGGTCAGGAATCACATCTAGTGGAGTGGACCAGGGTGCTACATGTCCCAGAGCTGCGCTCTAACCTCCTATCAGTCCTGTATCTCACTCAGCACAAATCCATTCGCGTTGTGATCACCAGGGGCCTCATGGCCTTCGTTCGAGGCACTACCACGCTGTTCACCGCGTCTGTGAGCGATTCCAACGCCGCCATCGTCAACGGGCGCACCCTGCCGGCCCTGGAGCACGCCCAGCCTGCCAGCACCTGCGCCTTGGACCTCGAGCTCTGGCATCGGCGCTTCGGGCACGTCAATGTCGACTATGTCCGCCGGATGCTGAAGGAGGACAGCGTCTCTGGCCTCAAGCTCGACTCGGACGCCGCTCCAGACGCCATCTGCGAGCCTTGCATCTCGGGCAAGCTGCACCGGCCTCCTGTGCCTCTGAGGGCCTCCCGGCGCGCGTCAGAGGCCCTGGGTCTCGTCCACATGGACGTCCACGGCCCTATCCCTGTCCAGACGCCTGAAGGGTATCGATACTGGGTGATCTTTGTCGACGATGCCCACCGCTTTTGGGTGGTGGTGCTGCTCCGGCGCAAGAGCGACACGTTCCAGGCCTTCCTGCGCTTCAAGGCCTTTGCTGAGCGGCTTACCGGACGCAAGATCGGCGCACTGCGCGACGACAAGGGCGGCGAGTTCATCTCGAAGGAGTGGGACGACCTCTGCACCTCCGAAGGCATCCGACGCGAGCACAGCGTCCGCAACGAGCCCCACCAGAACGGCGTCGCGGAACGCGCCAACCGGACTCTGGCCGAGGGCGCCACGGCTCTCCTGAGCGAGTCCAACCTGCCTCCATCGTTCTGGGGCCTCGCCGTCGCCGCCTACGTCCATGCGCACAACAGGACGCCCTCCGCTGCCCTGCCCAAGGGCGCAACACCCTACTTCGGCTGGTACGGGATCAAGCCCTCTGTGGAACGCCTCCGGGTCTTTGGGTGTGTCGCCTACGTTAACATCCAGAAGGACAAGCGCCGTGGCCTCTCCTCCCACTCTGAGAAATGCATCTTCGTCGGCTACGCGGAGGACTACAAGGCCTGGCTCTTCTACAACCCAGACACCCGCAAGCGGATCATCTCTAACGCCGCTATCTTCGACGAGCGGTACTTCCCCGGAGCGCGTTCTACCGCCAGCTGGGACTCTGCTGCATCCGACTTCCTCCTCCGCGCCCTGCCTTCGCTGCACGGCCCTCCTGGCTCTCCTCCTGACGCACCTGCGCCGGTTCCGGGGGGAGATATGGCACCACCGCCGTTTCAGGATGCTCAGGACATCCCTGAACCGGGGGGAGATCTGGAACCGCCCCATGTGCCGCCTGTCGCTCCTGCCAGAGTTGAGACGCCTCCGCCGTCTCCTCATGCTTCGTCCTCGCCTCCCACTGGTTCTGCCTCGCCTGAGGCCTCCCCATCGCCTGTCCCTCGCTCTGCAGCGCCGTCAATGGACCTGGAGCGCCCTCCTACGCCTCCTGAACGCCCTCCGACTCCTCCTCTGGCCCTCAGACGCGAGCGCCGTGCGCCCAAGCCCGTGCAGCCTTGGTGGATCGTCCCCTCTCGCTCTCCGGCCCCTCAGGCCTACCGGGAACCCACTCCAGCCATCGAGAGCAGCGAGGACGAAGACGACACCTCCTCCGAGGATCCCCTGGCTGCTGCTGAGCCAGAGGACGCCATGCTGGTGCTAGCTGGCCTCGACACCATCTACGCCGCTCCTTCGTCGCCAGACCACCTCTCCTTCCCTCAGAGCCTCAAGGCCGCCTTTCAGACTTGCGCACTGAAGGCTGAGGCGCGGGGCAACGAGCCTAGGTCTTTCCGCGAGGCCATGAAGCGTCCTGACTCGGATCTATGGTACAAGGCCGCCATGGAGGAGATCGAGGCCCACATCGCCAATGGGACCTGGGAGCTGGTCCAGCTGCCTCCCGGACGCAAGGCCATCGGTTCCCGTTGGGTTTTCAAGGTCAAGCGCAAGGCCGACGGTTCTGTGGAGCGCTACAAGGCCCGCCTCGTCGCCAAGGGCTTCAGCCAGCGCCCGGGAGTCGACTTCGACGAAACCTTTGCTCCTACAGCCAAGTGGGCCGCTCTCCGCGCTATCCTGGCCATCTGTGCCCTCGAGGACTGGGAGGCCGACTCGGTGGACATCTCCAACGCTTTCCTCAACGGTGATCTGGTGGAGGAGGTCTACATGGACCAGCCCGACGGCTTTGAGCAGGGTAAGCCCGGAGTCGTCTGCCGGCTCCGCAAGTCTCTCTACGGCCTCAAACAGGCTCCTCGCGTCTGGAACCAGAAGCTCGACGCCGCCCTGCAGGAGATGGGCTTCTCCCGGGTCCGCTGCGACAAGAGCATCTATGTCTGGGAGCGCGACGGTGTCAAGGTGATCGTGCCGGTGTTCGTGGATGATCTGACCATTGTCTCCAAGAGCCAGGAGGCCAAGGATGCCGTGATCGAGGAGCTCTCCCGGCGCTTCAAGCTTCGTTACCTGGGTCCGATCTCGCTCCTACTCGGCGTGCACATCACCTGGGACCGCCCCAACCGCACCATGACTCTGGATCAGCGCCAGTACATCCTCGACATCCTCAACACCTACGGCTTCAGCACCTGCAGCCCGGTGAAGACTCCTATGGATCCCAACCTTCGCCTGTCGACCTCCATGGCTCCCAGCACTCCTGACGACGTCGCTTACATGCAGGACAAGCCGTACGTCAGCGCCGTGGGTGCCCTGCTCTACCTGGCCATCTGCACTCGGCCCGACATCTCCTACGCCGTCGGCGTTCTCTCTCGCTTCACCAGCAACCCTGGCCCGGCTCACTGGAAGGCCGTGAAGCACCTCTTCCGCTACCTGCGGGGCACCCTCGACCTACGCATCCGGTACGCTCCTGACGACTCCGGCGAGCTCTTCAGCTCGTTCTCCGATGCTGACCATGGCGGCAACCCGGACAACGGCCGCTCCACCTCTGGCTACATCCTCAAGGTCGGTACCAGCGCCGTGAGCTGGAGCTCGAAGCTTCAGACCGTCGTGGCTCTCTCCACCACTGAGGCCGAGTATGTGGCCGCCTGTTATGCCAGCAGGGAGGTCATCTGGCTCCGGAACCTCCTCACTGAGCTCGGCTTCGATGTCAGCTCCTCCTCTATGCTCCGCATCGACAACCAGTCTGCTCTCTCTGTGGCGAAGAACCCAGAACATCACAGGCGCATGAAGCACCTCGACCTGGCCTTCTACTGGCTTAGGGATGCCGTTGAGGCGAAGAAGATCTCTGTCAGCTACATCCCCACGGCGGAGATGCCTGCCGACTTGCTCACCAAGTCTCTGGATCGCTCGAAGGTGGAGGCTTGCAGGAGTTTGATGGGATTGGCTTGAGAGTTGCCTTGTCAGGGGGGAGTGTTGTCTGTGGTGACTTGCCAGCTCTCTGGCGCTTCCGGCGCTTATTTCGCGTGGCTGTGGCCGCTTTAGCTTGTAGGCTGTGCTGACAGTTTTACTGGAGAGCCACAGATGAGTTGGGCACTTCATTCTGCTCACTGTCTGTGCTCTCCAGGTAGGATAGCCCTCTCCATGTATTTACTTCATTCTGCTCACTGTCTGTGCTCTCCAGCTCGTTCTCGAGTGTTGTCCAGCTGCTAGACGCCCTCAGACAACACAAAATAGGGGAGATGCCAAAAGGAGGGTGCAGGAAGCCTAGGAGGGCGCGGGAGAGCATGACTGAATAGGGAGATGAAAGTATTAGGGGAAATGAACAAAATGGGACAGAAGCGGAAGCAGAATGGGGGACAATGGGACATGAGGCGAGTGTGGGAGCCATGCCCTGACATCGACCATGTGGTGGGGCTGGGCAACAACGTGATCACCTTGCGTGCGCAAAAGGACCGTCGTTGACCACGCGGGAGGGCTGGCCCCTTTGAGGTCACGTGCGCGTGGGCCCTAGCACCGCCACACAGTCCACGACGGCCCTCCCGTGCTTCCGTTGACTTTTCTCTTTCTCTGTCACTGTCCCCGCTGCCACACTGTCCACAACGGCCCTTTCTGCCTTCCATATCATGTTTCATTTCTGACACCACCACGTGAATATGGCATCGCCTCCGCCCACCACCCCGGTTGGAGCCGGACCCCTGCACCGGGTTTGATGCCGCCGCCCAGGACCCCTCCACCGGCTTCGACGCGCGACCCCACGTCCTCCCTCACTGACCTCAGCAACAGCGACAACCCGAACCCTCGCAGGCGCCAGCCTCCGATGCTGGAGCAGCCGCAAAAGCAGGCCCGCCGACGGCGCCCCGCGCCCAATAATGACTTCGTTCTCAAGGGCTCTGTGCCCGGCGATGCAGTGGGTCTTCGTGAGGACGAAGCGGTTGCCACCCGGCCCACTGCCCCCCAAGCTGGCGGATCGAAGAAACACGGAAAGGGCGCAAAGGGCCGCCGTTGAACAATGTTATGAATTTGTTGCATCCTCCCCCTGGCTTCATCATGGACATTTTGCGCTATGAATCTGTAATTTATTGTCATTTATAGTTGTCATTGCCTCCGTGAACAATGCATTTGTACGGAGTGAATTGCTTTCACGTGTGGGCGCAGTCCATCCGCGCCGCGCGGTCAATGACCGCTCTTTCCGCCGTTTGAACAAAATGTGAACGTCTAGTATGCAAAGCCCGCCATGCGGTAAATGACTGCCCTCCCCGCAGTTTGAGCAAAATGTGAACGTCTAGTATGCAAAGCCCGCCGTGCAGTCAATGACCACGCTTTCCGCCGTTTGAAAAGAATGTGAACATCCAGTATGCAAAGCCCGCCGTGCAGTCAATGACTGTCCTCCCCGCAGTTTGAGCAAAATGTGAACCTCTAGTACGCAAAGCCCGCCGCGCAGTCAATGACCACTCTTTACATCTTATCTATCTGATCCATTTCTGGTTACCCCCGCCCCGTCTTTCCTCACTTACTCAACCTCCATCCCTTCATCATCCGTCATCTCCCTTCCTTCTTCCGCTGGAAGCTATGGAGTGCCGCAGTGTACTCTGATCTCTTCGCGCCAGCGGTAGCAGTTGGGATTGATAACGATGCATATTGCAGTGCCTTGGTGAGTCTCCAGAATCATGGTGGCCGCACAATATTTTGATCCCGTCGTCTTCCATAACCGACTTGCGTTAGCCGAAGGCAGCCAAAGACATTGGTTCAACACCTTTTGTTGAAACTCCTTCCGTACACTCCCTGCGTCTGTATCGCTCAGCGTGTTTGCCAACTCCCTCCAGTCTTTTTGCGACTCCATCAGGTGCCAACTTTGCAAACACGGCGTGCGTACTAGCCCTTTCTGTGGGAGCAGATTATCGATCGCCATCTGCCACACCTTCCTTTCTACCTTCTTCACCAGTACAGCCAAGAACAAGCGCGAAAGGTCCAGGGTCTTGAACCACAACCAGTTGGCATTTCCTCTCTCCGCTTTGAGCATGATCGTATAGCTTCTGTCTCGCAACTTTCGGTAGTTGGGTATTTTTTGGATGATGTCTGATGCCAGCTGCTGGGATATCTTCTCCATGGCCTCGTTCAGTCCTATCGGTTCTGACGGCGGCAATGCCTCCTTGATCTCCTCCGGTAGGTCAATGAACTCAGCCCCTGGTTCCAACTGCATTGCAACCAGAGGCCGAACCTTGATGCCCCGTTCTCCTGCCTGGAAATCCACAGCTGGCGGTGGCGGTTCTGTCCTACGCACGCTTCTCACGTCTTCGGTGTGTACTTTGTTCTTGGTCCTCCCAAAGTAGACTTTCTCCATTCGTTCTCATCGCTCCTGCGGTATCATCACCGGATACATGTGGCTCTGCATAAAGCTCATGTGCTTCTCTCCGAACAGCTTGGCCATGTCCCCAGGCACGTAGTGCAGGGCTTTGGTCGGCATATGAGGAACTCGCACGTCCCCGTTTTTCTCCCAGTGGATGCCGCATAGGAACCACAGCCCAAGTATCAGGTGGAGGGGTACCAGCTCGTGGTCCATACCTTCTGCTCGCCGTGAGCCAAAAGCCAACATTTCTTGGATGATGCTTCCTTGCCACCCCGTGCTGAGCGTCAAGTTTAAGAGTCATACGAGTTGTGCTCCGAGCGCGATTGTTGCCACCCAACGTCGAATCTCCCCCGGCAGGCCCGTCAGGTACTCCAAGATCAGCAGGCATGCTTTGGTGCAGAATGTGATGAAATGCTTGCCATCTGGTGAGCATTGTTGTCCGCACGAGCAAGAGCAAGATATCCACTTACCACCAAGTATACGTCTTCAGTGCTGTGAGGCATGCCTTCAGCGCACTTAAGTTCCTCCTGCTGAGGAACAACTCGTCTCCCATAAACGTATCCGTCTCGGAAAGTGGGACGCGCGCCTCTAATCTGACACCTCCATCTTGTCCTACGTGTCCTGTCTCTATCGTGTTGGCCTCCCCTATGTCCAACATGATTTTCACCCGCTTTTGCAACCGCTTCAGCAGTCGGTCCATGTTCACCGGATACAGCATCTTGTATGGAATGCAGGCCCACAGGTTGCGGTGTTGCGCATGTATCAACACCTGGTCCATGTGATACGTCTGCACATATGCGTGCTGTTGAACACTTCTTTGTCACACTTGCGGGGTTGCCAACGGAATCCGGCCAGTTGTTCCAGTTGTCCCGCGTAATCCCTGATGAATTGAGGATGGTCCAAAGCCTCTTTCACCTTCCCTCTGTGTGCCTGCGTCCCCAGCTCCGGAAACATGCACCAGAGAATTTCACTGTGCTTGCCGGTGTGGATCTTCAGGCAGTGCCCCGGGCAGTACATCTCCACCTCGATGTCTATCCACCACTGGTCATTTGCCCTCGTGTCCGGTCCAATCCAGCTCGTCGCTTCTATAAACTTGGACGCTATTTCCATTTCTTGCAGCTCGTGCACAAATTCATCTTTGGACCCTTTCACCTCGAACATGAACCAGAGGTCACAGAATGCCGCCTGCTCCAGGCTGTTGGCTCGGGTTTTCAGCATTTCCCCGAAATCCTTCATGCAATTGGCAGACATGTTGATGCTGTGCCAGTGCATCTGTCCTCCCTCGTCCCTTTGGTTCGCCATCGCTGCACTGTACATGGCCAGGATGTGCACCTGCCCTTCGTTCAGCTCCCGAAGGGAGGGAGCTGCTAGTACGAGGTTGTAGAATTGCTCCACTATCGCGGTGGGAATCCACCTGTCCCCCAGTTTCACGCTCGCGGACCACAGCCCTGGAAACAGAACAACTATCTTGCCCTGAGAACTGAACGTCCCAAGGAGCATGTTCGGGATCGTGTGCGCGGGCACAGAACAGTGCCTGGGGGGACCATATTCAATAGACACCGATTGTTCCTCGTGTGGCTCCAATCAAAATCTGGTAATATGAACACCTTTACGCTGGCCAGGATGTCCAGCTGCTGAGAATATCTGATGATGGAGTCGATGTCCCGCCTGAACCGGATGCTCCCCGGGTCGAACTCATGCTCCAGGAAATCTTCCGCATATTCAACATCCACCTTGATGAGCTTGTTCATGCTTCCATCCGCCCTTGTCCAACGATCACAGAGCATGTAGTTGGTCGCCCGCTGCACCGATTTTCCTGGTCCGAACAGTTGCGAAGCGGACCCCATGAATGTTGCCAGGCTCATGACATGCGTTTCGATATTCTCGTATAGCCAAGAGGGATCAAGGTCCTGGTCTAGCAAATCAGTCACGCCGCACTCCTCCGTTCCGTCCTGATCCTCTGATCTGTTAACCGTCTGTATCTCATCCTCGAAAGACTCAGGAGGCGAGGGTGCCCGGTCCATCGACCATGTCGGTCCAGGCCGATCCTCTTCCATATCCTCCATAGCAATCCAGGAGGGGGATAATGGAGGGGGGATATTCGTCGAGGCCCCTCGCCCCCCTCCCATTTTTATACACCACATCGGTGCTGCTAGCGTTGGGTAGACGAGCCACATGTTTCTGGCATGCTACAGGTACGCGAGATACGTGAGATACGCAAGCTAAGCAAGATACGTGAGACTTATGTTCACTGCTTAACCCTTGAAATTGTTCTGACAATAGATCCTAACAACATGTGACAAGGGTTTTGCATGCAAAGAGAGGTTGGAAGACGGCACACCCTGCCGTTTCTTCTCAACAAACTACAAGAATCGCTTACGCAAGCACTACTCTACCTCCCACAAGGACTGTGCTTGGCCACCCAGGCAAGCCGACGATGAAACAGCCCAGCTGCATTTTGTGCAATACGTGCAGTCTCTGGTCCCGCTTGACTACAAGACCCGATTCCTTGTGATGGGACCATATCTTTCTGACGCCAAAGCTCAGCCCGGCGTGGAAAAGCTTCAACGAATCAGAGACAAGATGCAGCAGATGAACGAGGTCTCTCTCGGCACCAGTCCCAAGCTTATACCCTACTGGCTCACAGCGTTGAAATGGCCAGAGCATGTCCAGGATTACAACAGCTACAATCTGTGCTGGCTTGTGGACACATTGAATCAGCATTTCGATCCTCTAGCAGGCGTTTCAGGGCTTGTGTTTCAGTACCTGAAGAAATGCAAGTCCCTCATCGCCAACTGTCTGCCGATTGTCCTGCAACTTCTGGTCACCGCCAATGTGCAGTCAGAGTAAGTTTCAGCTGGCTTCTTCAGAGAATCCATTGCTGTCTCTAATCCTACACTCCTCAGACTCGAGCACAAGCCTTTCAAGGGTCTCCAAGAAGCGGTGAGCCTCGCATAATATTCCTGTATGGTCGCAGCGCTGCTGCTCATGATCATGAGGCAGGATATGTTGGACCCTGCCGCCTATTCAGTTGCAGGCTGTCCTCCCGATACAGCAGACCTGGTGACTCTTTGGGAAGCGCTCGAATCCACCGTCGGAATGAATGCAACCACGGTGTCCTTTGAGGATTCGCTGATGCTGTTGATGCACCACATCTTCAGCGGGTTATTTCTGCGGGCTTGGGATCATCTCCAGACAACCGACAATGCCATTCCCCACCCCGTCATGCGTTGCATCATCCTGCTATCTATATGACCCAACAGCCAATTCAAAGAGGCCGTCCATGTTACACCGCTTCTCTCCCACATGCAATATGCAATCTGACTGTGCACCCTTCAGGAAATATACCTCGAAGCGGCAAGTTTATCAGCAAGGGACCTGGAGATCGCCACGTTGAGCATCCGCAAGTTCTACACCAGCGGAGGTTGCAGCACGTTCGGGGTCATGAAGTCTCAGGGGCACCTCATCACCGACGTCGCCATGAGCAGCCAAATGGAGGTGAACATTATCTTGACGGATCCGGTCGGATTCACCTCACTCGTCCATAAAGGGCATGAGATCACTCTCTGTAACCTTCACGCCCTCTATGCCAGCCTTCAGGCATGGACAAAGGCCGCCGATGTCAAGACCTCTCTAGGATGTCCCATGGGCATAGTCATATCTGCGTTCAAGGACAACATGACCTCAAGGAGCCAGAGCTACTCATTCCTTTCTGATCCCAGGAACCGGTTGCTGCACAGCAAAATCATGTTTTTCAACGTCATCATGTCTGATCCCACCGCTCGAAAGTGGATGTTTATCAGCCCGGACGAGTCCGATCTCATGGAACTCCAGGTAGATATGGTGCACGGATTTGAATGGCTCCGATCCTTGACCGACCTTGAATGAAATCTCCTCATCATGACGATGAACCTGAGCGGCCCTCCCCCAAGGTTCACCGAGCTGGTATCCCTCAAATATCTTAACGGGCCATACACCGACTCGATACGGGGCCTTCACTTCTTTGGAAGGTACCTCACGATCACCACTCAGTATTGGAAACAGGGACACTCCACCGCCTATCAGAAGGAGGTCCCTCGCCCGCTCGACGCATTCACGGCCGACCTCCTTGTCAAAGTCTTGGTGGTTTACCGACCCTTTGTGGCCTGGCTCTCGAAGAAGCTGTGGCCAGCCAATCCCAAGGCCGGCGAGGGGTATCAGCGTTTGATATTCTCTGACTTTAAGGGGCAGCCCTTTGACCCAGAGGCTCTCAGCACCATCATGTCCGAGCAAGGGATGAAGGTATGCAGGGCTCCCCTGGGTGCGAACGCAAAACGACATGCTCTGAAGGCTTTCCGATGCGATCACAGGGCCCTCCATGGTATTACCCTTGAGGTGGAGACCCAGCTCAACCTCGAGCACATAGACGTCATGGGCATGGGGCATAGCAACAACGTTGACCGCCGGATATACGCACGATCAAACACGTCCAATGGACAGTACAGCGGGCATCTGCTGCAGGCAAGCTTTGAGCGGGCCGCTCAGTGGCAAGTCGTTATGAGGGTCGTTCCGGAAGGGGTACTACTTTTGTTCGATCGGTGCAGTACCTTGGAGTTCGAGTCCCTCTGTGTGGCAGGGCACTTTCACGATTGCACAAAGAAGAAGGAAGACTCGGACAGGATGCTGCAGGATACCATCAGAACCATCATTCGAGAGGAACTTCAAGCACTATCCGCCATCAACTCCAAAGCGGCCATACATATGGGCCTTTCTGATCAAATCCTGCAGACAATCCGTGAAGAGATCACAAGTGCAGTTAAGGCGGCTGTGAGATCAATTGCGCATTGGAATGAACCTCGAGATGCAATAGGATGGGAAGAGGGTGACTATCCCATCGCAAGCAAGTCAGACGGGAATGAAATCACTGGTACGCAGTGTGATTGCAACGTGCTCAAGACACTCGCTGATATCACGTCCCCCAAGTTCTCCCAGAGCATGTTAGGGAGCGACTCCCGATGTCTAGCCCTAGGGCCCAGTGAGAATCGACTCTGTGTCAGTCTGCTCGAGATGCGCGTGTCTGCGGAAGCCACCATCACGCACATCAAAGCTTACCATAGCGCAACAGTGATGCAGATTCGCAGATGGCGAACGGCTATGGTATGCTACAGTCTGTCCCGGTATGCTGCTCGTCTGGATCGCTCTGCGCTGGCCTGCGGCTCAAGAGAATACAGCATAATGCATATGTATCTCGTACAGAAATTACAATACATGCATAGAACAACTCGAAACGACGTCGTGGCCAGCAGTGGAAGTGCCGGAAGCTCGTCGGAGTCGACGGCGGGTTGAACGAGCCGCGGATGAAGTTGTCGAAGAGTGAGAAGGCATCAAGATAGCGTGTAGACGAGCGAGACCCAGCACGGCTGGCACCTATAAGGGGTTGGAGAGATAGAACAGAGCAAGGCGAAGCCTGTAGCCGACAGGAGTTGGAGAAGACGGGACGAGCACATGAGACAAACCGGAGGTCTGGCGAAAGTACGGACGAGTCGGAGGACCTTAGGCGGTGTCGTCGAAGGATGGTCCTAGGCGCTCCTTAGGGCGCGTTCGCGAACTCATTTGATAGTATTTCTAGGCAGAGTCAACGTAGATCGTAGTCGTGCAAAGGGCGCGAATGGATGCTCACGCTCTTTTGCTTCGAATCCATTGATTTCCACACCGCGCTTGCTGCTTCGCGCGAGTTATCGTTGGATTTGAGGTATTCGGCGACGAATATATTCCTGAGAACCCGATGAGCAATCGCCGTAGCAGCATACATACGATAGCCTTACTGAGCTGAGTATGGGTCATCGTTGAGGTTCCTACCACGGGCTTTGTTCGAGACCAGAATCTTCGAGGCTGTCGCTGGACGCGCTATGGATGTTATATGTAGATGTACAACTTGGAAGCAAGGAACCGTCTGTGCGAACCTGTCGTTGATGGTACTGAAGCCGAATCCGTATTGGGAGTACCGTGGACAGAAGGAGTGGAAGAGGACCGTGACGTTGTGACACCGGCGGCTGGCGACGGGATACCCGGAATGGTAGTGGACAAGGCGGGCGTCCTTTCGCTAGTCTCTGCATGAACGTGAGCTATAGCCGATCACTACATGGCCCAGCGCCGACGTACTGTTGATCTGGGTATGCATGGCACGGCGATCGGCAATGTTAGCTTCCTTCGTCTGGAGCCTGCAAATAGACATATGTATGAATGCTGGACCTGATAAGGATGTGAAACGTACAACGGGTTGGGGAGCTATCCCATCATGTGATGAGAGAGGTGAGCACATGATGACCAACTCGAAGGGCACCAATAGATCTCGAACCTTGATTCTTTCAAACCGGCGTTTGCGCTTTGTGGCCGGGTCGTCGCTGTCCATGTCGGCATCACCGTGCGCTCGTTTCCGTGAATCCTCAGCGGAGACTGAGATTGTGGCAACAACAACGGGTTGAGTCTCGACCCCAGGATTGAGATGCTTGTTTGTTTCGGGCGTTGCTAGAACACTCCCGCGGGCGGCATATCAGACCACTGAAACAGAAATGTAGAAAGAGACAGGTATACCATCGTGAATGACTTCGGCAGCCAAAAAGGGCGGCGGATGTGACGTAGTCTGCATGTCGATGTCGTGGTGTTCATCGACTTCGGGCCTGATTGGATCAGCTAACATATGGCACGTCAGTAGACGAGGAGCACCAGGGCATTGCCATTTAATGTACGCTTCACTGTGACAGATCTTCGAGCTGGCTTCGGTACGGCGTTCCTAAATCCTTCTCCAGGTCCTGACGGTCTGTCATCGACGTCTTCTTGTTTCACTATCTTCATGCCATTATGGCGGTGCCATTGCGGATAGTGTTCAATCATCCATCGCTCAGCCTTCCAGGTGCCGTCGCAAAGCTGGAACTCGATGAATTCAGCACGTAAAACCCGGTAGACAAGCTGGGCAGCAGGTAGAGTCGCGTTATGAGCCCACGAAGTTGGACCTAAACCGCGCGCCTTGAGGTATTGGCAGACGCGGTTCGTAGTAAGCCGTATCTCGTCAAGCCGTTGGAGCGTAACTCGGTGCCCTGTCGGATCTTCGAGGAAGCCGTACTTCTTACTGACCTTCTTGGGTTTGCGTACACCCACCGCGTCACTGTCTGAGTCAGCGGGATCGTCGTTGGAGTTGCCGCCAAAGCCGGCTATGTCGTCAGTGCGCTTCATGGAATTTGTCCAGGTATCGTGGTCCCAATACTTCACCTCGGGGTGAGTGTCGTGTGGTTCGTTTGGGAGATCTTGGATATGAGAGTAGGGATCATCGAGCGAAGGGTTTTTCTTGGTCAATGAGCCTGACTCGATCACCGACAACAGGCCTTGATATAAACCACTGAAGACAATCAGAGTGTGGATAGGTTCCTGTAGGTCAAACTAGTAGACATACCGCACTGTATCCACCTCCTTTGCAAGTACCATATTCTCAGTTACAATTCGCTGGTAGGCAATGTTGCCTGAGTTCCAGAGCATATCAGGAGAGGCACTTGCAAGCCACTGACTATAGGGACTGTGCGGGACCTGTGATAACTACTGTCAGTGAGCGTATATGCAGTTTTCGAGGCGCATATATCCCCAGGTTTTGGTCGTACAAGCTCCCTCTCTTGCAAGGTTGTGTTCTTTGTCGAATAAGCAAAAGAGAGCCCGTTCGGCAAAGCCTCCTGCATGCGATGAGATGCAGAGGGGTCTGACAACAGATTGCGTTCTGCGACACCATGGCGATGATGCTGGGCTGGCTCGTATGAGTTTTCTCGCTGTTGACTTGGCTGAATAGGTCCTATCCCCTGGATTGTATACGACATTGTTTGTTGCAATGAGTAACTGTTCCGTGTAGTGAGCGACAGGAGCAAGACATGTGGGTGGGCACAATGTAGGTTTTCGTACAGCCACCATAAGTGTCCTGAACTATGGCTGTATTTAACCGTTTCGCTGGCCGCGACTAGTTGTCTCCGTGTCCACCTCACAAATACCATTCTCTTTGCAACAATGGACCATTATATCCAAAGGATAGTAGCTGAATAGATTGCCATCACAAGCTATGTAATTACAACTGAGTACGGGCCTGGTTCAATGCATTAACTTACTCATCACCTTCCTCTTCAGCCGTTTCATCGTAGCCAGCCAGAAACCCAACATCGAGGCCAGGCTTTTCAACGAGGAAGAAACGATCATCTCCACGGTCTTCCTCTCTGCTTGGCCAATCTGGAACCATGGCAACAACAGCAAGAATGTTGCACACATCCACCCCAACTAGGCCATCGTCACCCAGGTGGTCACAGGACCATAGTACGCCAGACGATGCTTCGAGCAGTTCCGCGTCTGGCTGGGAGTATAATGATAGCATGGCAAGGCCATGTACAGTTCCATTGGGCATTTTGGCCCTGAAGAAGTAACGGGTTTCACCGTACTGAATAGAGTCAGTATGTGGTAGGTGGACCTAGTAAAAGTTGTTCAGAACATTAACTAATCATCAAGCAGCCTAGTGTATACCTTGACATTGCGGGAAATACGGATCCGATTCATTTCTGTCAATGACTCCTTCCACAAGCAGCGAACAATGCATCCAATGGGTAGCCGTAACTGTGCCCAGCGTTGTATTTGTAACTCCGGGGCAGTCCACCATCCGTGCACATTTTGATGTTCCGCTCCAAGCTCTGTGATATACCTGTTCATATACTCTGTGATGGCAATTTGCTCTGCATCTGAAACCTGACTAGGGTACCGCTCAAGTGCCCGTAATAGAATATAGCCTGAGCCAAGGTCTTCTGAACCACGGGGAAGAGTCTCCTCAGGAGAATGCATGTTCAGCGGAGGATACATTGACTTGAGAGTATTGGCTTGACATCGCTGTACACCTTGCTGTGATATATTGGCATATGATTTTGATGGTTGACGCAATTCTTGTCCAAGGCTTCCTATTGTTCGCTCTAAGACCCACTGAGCATAACAGCACAACGGCCCGTGTCTGTATGTCTCAGGAACAAGGTGTGGTAATAGATGGAGTACCGGTCGGCAAAAATGAAGGTGATCTTCGCGGCGTTTGCAGTAAATCTCTTCAAACTCGACACAGAAGTCGGCAAGCTTTCGGGATGCAAACTGAAGTTCATGGCGGCTTGTGCGCCACTGGTGTACGATACGCATCCCTGCAACAAATTTGCAGAAGTTCCACCAATATGTTGGTGGGAGAAGAAGTCGTAGGAATGCAGGGCATAACCCGTGCTGCCACAGGAGGAACTCCCAGCACTTGTATCCGCTATTCACTTTCTTGGAAGGGTCTCGAGGTGGGCGGTCGAAAAATCCAGGAAGGTATGGGGTAGCATCAGACACCATGCGTCCGTGACCTGTCCATAGTTCTCCAACGAGAACACGCCATGTCCAGGAATCTATAGAATCTGTACGGTCACATCCAATTGTTCCAGTCCACAGCTCCGTAAACAGTTGGGGCATATTGAGGTTTGCATGCATCAGATCAATTGTGCACATCCGTGGCATACCAAGCACGCAGGTGAGACCCATGAGAATACTTGGTTTCACGATACCAGTCTCTAGTCGGCGCTGATTGTGCTGGCGTGTATTCTGTGATTGGATGACATATGATAGGTTTTTGTGATAATCTGTTTGTGACCCGTGTGTAAAGGCCAGAGGGTCGATGTCCGGATGACTGCATGTAAGAACGGTACAGTCTGTAGACAGCAAGAGTGTGGGATAGTAAGTGTTTCCTCCACCCTTGCGGCGGCCAAGCTGTGGACAATATAACCGGCATCCATAGCGGCCCTGGTGTCCAACAAGCCCCGTCAGAAATGCCATTCCAGGCCCATCGGCACCTGCAAGAAAAATGAAGGGATGGTCGATGAAAACTTCTCCAGTTCGGGCATTCCAAACCTGAAGGCCTTCACGTCCAAGAGCTTCGACATGATGTAGGCCGAGGTAAAGGTACGAAAAGAGATATTTGGGCTTATGTGGTCCAGGAATGAAACCACCAGGAAAAACAGCCTTACGCTTGTATCGCGTTCCTGGCTTGATGTCAAAGAATACCCATGCCCAAATCCAAAGATCTGATTCCTTGTCATGGTAGAGCTGTGCACCATCGATTGTAAGGAAGAGGCATGTATCTTTGCCAGGAATGATTGTGCCGGCTTTGACAAGTGCAAGAAACTCAGACGAAACACAGATGTCGACAAAGGTTTGGATCTCCTGGAAGGTCTCGAGCTCGTCAAGGGCTTCATCTATCCTCTGCTCAAGGTAGGACATCATATCGGCACCCTCCGGTGTGCGGAATATACTCTGTATTTGGGGACCGGGTGGTATAACATAATATTCCTGTCGTGCTTTCTTGACACCGTGCACCCGCGGGATCTGCTCGTCATAGCGTGCTTCACCGCACAATGGGCAAGACTCGAGGTCTAACCAAGGCCCTGAGAAGGCCGTGCACGAGTTGACACACATGGCGCCGCTCAAGGGCTCCACGCCAGTTAATTCTGCAATCTGGCATTTCAGGAGCCAGAGGGAGTCGGGTTTGGAATTATGATTCGGATTCCATTCAATAGCAGCAGCCATAATGTCTTCGTAGGTCCTCTCGGAAGAATGAACAGTTGCCATATAAACCCGGAGGGAGAAGAATGTGTCGGCGTCAAGGTCTTCAGGCAGACATCGAAGAGGATTTCGAAGGCGATCTTGAATGTGTGCAGGAAGGCCACCATTTTCGAGTGTAGCGGAGCGAAGCTCTTTGATGAACTCCAAGATATGATGAATCTCTGGGATTTGCGACGTAGTAGGAAGTACAAAAGCTTCGTTATCGTGACCAGCCTCCGCGTTGGCAGACCGGTCACTAACATCCGGTTCACGGGCCTCCTGATCTTCCCCTACACGAGCACGATCATCCAAGAGATCGGTTTCGTCACTTCGAAGGGCGTCATAACCAGAATCTTCATCGCGCTGTCTTGTTTGACGGATGTGATTGGAGTAGAAATGGATGGGATAGTTGGTAAGTCTGGGTGAGTTAACTTGATCCCAATGAAATCCGTCTTGAGGTCCTGGGCTATCTAAGTCGGAGATTACTCAATAAGTTTGGCCGGTAGTTGATCTGACTTGAATGTGACAAGCGATAAAGCTTATCGGTGTGTTTGATGTGAGTGTGAGAGTGTTGTGAGGGTGTGGGAAGGTTGGGTTCTGAATACTAGCTCCTGCTAATAGTACGTGTGAGGTGTTGAGGTGTTGAGAGAGAATAACCAAGTAAAAAATGAGAACGTTCAGAGACTGAGAGAGTTGGAAACCAAATATTGCTGTCGGTGGCTGTGTGCTGAGTTGAAATACTAAAACCAGGTACTCTTGACCTGATTGGAGTGTCTGAGAGAAAACTGAGAGCTTACGAGCTCTGTCAGACTGTGTGCGTGTAGGGGGAACTTCTTCGTTCGGACGGCGTGCGTATAGGGGGGGAACTTCTTCGTTTCTTTCTTGGGCTAGAGGGGCTACATTTATACTTTTCCAGAAGTTGGCCTGCTCCTAGTCACGGATCCCTGTTGAGTCACTTTCTGACTCATTGGAGTCATGTGCTGACTCATAAGAGTCATTTGACTCATAAGAGTCATACTGACTCATAAGGCTGACTAAGTTTGTGATGACTCGCTATGCTTGAGTCATGAGTAGTAAGCAGGGTGTGATCTGGATACATGATTATAACTATGCTTACTGAGCTAATTCTATCCTACTGATCTTACAAATCGGGCAGTTCCGCACCTAAACACTTTAGGGGCGGGACAGCGCGTGTCCTCCTCTTGCACTTCTTCGAGGCTACCGGGATCCCGAGATCGAACACGATCCAGTTCAATTGCGCTGGGATCCCCACTGCCTCTAGATCCAGACGGTACCTCTGGATGATCGTGAAGAGAGCTACGCCGCAAAAGAACCTGATAAAAGTTGGTTAGTAGCTGACGGCGGCAGGGATCGTCTATTACAACGATCCGGCGGGATTCTTATAAGGAACGACGCACCGTACACCCTCGAGCATCCGGGCCTCCAATCTCTGTATGTGCTCTTGTTCGAGTATTCGAGTTGCTCCCTCCCCCGTTGCTCAAAGTGTCGGCTTGATATTGGACCGAACCGCGCCGATTTTGTAGATGTCGGGAGCGAGTGTTCCGGTGAACTTGAGCCTGGCTGCATCGCGTTCTTCCGCAGGTGCACCATACGAGATTGGAGCCCGACGGCATTCTTTCCAAGTTGCAAGGAGTGGTGGACAAGAGCCTGTCCAGGGAAGAGTGTGCCACATGGGAAGGACTTCGCTCGTCTTGCGCAACGTGTCATCACCTTGCTAGCAACAGACATGGCATGTCGCCTACTTCGCAGCTGTAATATTAATTTCGAATATATATGTACATGTTCATCTGCGAAAATGCAGGTTGTGCCCAAACCGCGCACATAGACAGTGTCCTACGCACACACACGCGGCTTCCAGCGAACACGCGCAGAGTCGATTCTCACTGGGCCTAGGGTTCCATGCACTCCCACTGCAAACGTGGATCCAACATTGCACTCTGTGTGCGGTACAATATCCAGTTCGAAGACTCGTCCACCATCTACCAGTCCCAACTCTTGTGCACAGTACCCTATGCAGGTCTCTGCAAGCAGGAATGCTGAGGCCCCATCTGTGTTGTCACAGGATAAAACGAGACACTTGAGGATGAGCAGGGAAATAGTTCCATCACCCCCATGGTCCTCCATCCGATCGACACCGAACGCAGGGGAAGAGATATCATCAATCTGATCGTTCGACTCACAGAACGAAGCTCATGCATATCATCGCCCCTATCCCAGCACACGAACCGGCAACAGGAATAGAACCGGCAGTGCCAGCTGTGAAGGCAAGTGTTTTCGGTTTGATTGACGCAGTTACCTCATGTCTGACTCTGGCGATAGAAAACGGCCGTAGCTCACCCTTGGATATCGAGATGGATTCTCCAGTATCTCAGGTGCCTAAGCTAGAGGATGATACAGGAGACGCGAACGATCCCCAATCGCAATGCACATAGGAGGGCTCTCAGCCGGAGGCAGCTCAGATCTGATATTGGAAACCCATGGTCAGGAAGGAGATGCAGATGCTCTACGGGAAGGAAGCAAATCTCCGATCTACAGGTCAATGCGAGGCCATTTACGAGATGCTTCTGCGCCACAACGACATGCAGGTCGTCCTGGGAACAGGCGCTGGCAAGACCACACCGGTAATAATTGCTGGCCTTCTGGACCAGGCTACCACCGTCTTGGCTGTTCCGCTGAAGGTCTTAATGGAGGATGCGGTGTGTAAGCTGCAACGGGCAGGCATTGAGCACCATGTCTGGAGGGAAGGACAAATCCCCTCCTCTGCCCGAGTCGTCATAGTCAGCTACGATCACATCGGATCAGCGTCCTGGAAGGAGGCCATCACCAGCCATCACTTTGGCTCCCCCTATCCGGTCACTTGCTTCATGTTGGACGAAGCTCACTCCAGGTTCATGCAGATCAGTTTCCGACTGTCCATGGAGAATGTGTGGAAAGCAAGGATGTTCAATGCTCAGCTCATAACACTTACAGCTACCCTACCCCCGGCAGCAGAGGATAGGCTCACCAAACTCCTATCCACGGCCCAGCTAGGGGTTGAGCCTCAATTCCGCCCATCTCAGACTGGTGGACTACCACCTACAAATGTAGCATAGCAGGATACTAGTAGGCTGGTACCATTTTTGGAAAAAGTGCATGACTACGCAGCCACCGATAAAATGTTTATGATAAACACAGTGCAGGGCAGTTTGTGAGCCCAATACGGTAGCTCTATCCTTGTGTTTGGATGGAATTGAGGCTCAATTCCATCGGGTACCTAAATCTGTGCAGAATTATTGTGTGAATCCAAATATTACACTCCCATGACCGTGGGAATGTTCCTTCGGCCGCTACAGCTGATTTACTGAATACATGGAATTGAGGATTGGACAGAGTGGGTCTATCAACTTGGGTCATTATCATCCTCCAAAAATCCCTCCATGCGATAGAATCAATGGACACTAGGCTGCATAGCCACACAGCAAGTTTTGGCTCTCCAGATAATAAAATACCTCTTTCAAAATCAGTGCAAAAAACCAAACTAAATTTGTTTGTTCACACACCCGAGTATAGGTGTTAATGTTGTAATATTAAATAGTGTGGAGAAATGATGCAAGAATATGTGGGAATAATGTGGCATTGTAAAAAGTTGAAATAAACGTGTGATGTGATAACTCACTGATCTTACATTCAGAAAACGGATAATGGGTGGCGCAACTGGCTTACAATGACCTAAGGAGTGGAGGTTCTGAAAATGACTATTCAGGTAGATATCCTTTTAAAGCCATTT